CAAGGGCGTGCCTTCAAGCCAGGAACGTGAAAAGGTGATAGAATTATTAGAACGTATGCCTCTAGTACCATTCGAAAATCGTCTTACTCGCGGTCTTAGCGGTGGTGAAAAACGTCGTCCATCCATAGCGATAGCATTAGTTGAGGATCCAACTGTAGTCTTTTTTTGGATGAACCCACCACCGGACTTGATCGGAAGTTAGACGTTTGATCTGGAATATCATCAGCGAGGCGAAAACTGGACGAACGATTATATTGACCACGCATTCGGAGAGGCAGGAGTTTTATCAAAGGTCATTATGGTCCAAGGAACTGTTAAGATGTATTGACCACAATTAAGACTGAAGGAGAAGTATGGTCGAGGTTTTAAATTGAGCTTTTCGGGTCAAACGGCGGCCATGGGGAGAGCTATTGGGTATGTTGGGTATTGTTATGCTATGGCGGCGTGTGATGATAAATATAGATTTAGTTTAACTTGACTTTTGATACTTTTCTTAGCTTCACCGAGTCATCACTTCTACCAACAGCAAGAAGGCTTCCGTAACTTATGAATTCTCGCCAGAGCCTGGATTGATTTCTCGGCTATTCAAACGAATTGAGAGCGATGGAAGATACTTTGGTGTGTGGATGATTGGGTTTTGAGTCAAACAACGCAAGTTTCACACAAGTTTTTTCCGAATATTGAAGATAACAAAAACTAACTGTCGTCCCATTCTTCGATCCAGTCTAGAGGAAGTTTTCTTAATCGGGGATGATGGAACAGATGCTGAATAAGTTTTCGGATGCACGGTCGGCAAATTTGACCTTATGGACCAAAATATAAACACAAGAAACCTTGCCCTTATGCTAAGTATCAAAATACGTAGGAGTGGGTTATTCTTTTGCACTTATTAGACGAATTAATAGATATTCAGGAATTGGGGACTTTTTTAGATTCTTCTACAGACATTTTTGCGAATTAATACAATTGATGTTATTTAGCTAATTATTTGTCTAATACAAGTGGGTCTCGATATAAGAAAGTATTTTATATAGAAAGGAATTTGTTGGGCCCCGATCACTTTCTTATATTAATATCGAGACCCACTTGTAATAATCATTCTATTCGTGTGTCAGGAAACAAATTGTCATTGCTCCATGTAAAATATTGCTCGTTTTGTCAATATCACTAAATTAATGGTAATAAAAGGAATAAATCGATATGATGGTGAAATCGTGGTGAAGAAAGTCTTAATATATATTAATTCGCTCTAAGGTTTGAGAATTAACGCGAAAAATCTTCTAACGTAATCGTATGTGTTTACAGTGAAAGAGCAACTTTATAACATATCCACAGCTTCTGAATACGCATAGTACAAGTTTGGATAAACTTTATCTCTCAGTTGTATGTAAATTTTAGTTGGTATTAGAGGTATAAAAGTCGTATTATTTTATTTATTTATTTTTTTGGTAGGAATTTGGCCATAGAGTTCAAAACTCTATTACAGATTATTTTAGCCAAGAGATGGGATATCCAAAGTCTAGTCACTCCGCTAATCTGTGGAGAATTTATCTTGTTGAGTGGTTTTTATATTGATGTTTTTATTGGCGAAGATACGTGCATGTGTGATTTTCAATGTTCTCTAATCATTATACAAACCGCTATAATTTAACATGCCAATTATAATTTGCAAACCTCGTTATCTTTTAAAAACAAATACACCCAATTATTCACCACAGTAATAGATTCAAAATAGAGATGTTTGTAAGTCGACCCCTGTCAGCACAAACTCTGATGCTGTGACGCTTACCTGTCTATTTCTTCTTTACTGATTACAGGTCTTCGAATTTACTGATATTCAGACGTCACGAATCGCAGCTACCCAGCTCGTGAGGCACAGCCAGATTTATTTCGAACGCTATGTTATTATCTATTTCTCTTGTTGGGGATAATTTATCGCTATTCTTATTTTTATTGTTCGGGGGAAATTGCAATGCTTTTAAAGATAGATTATACGAACGAATATAGCAATTTTGTCATTATAAATTTTTTGACAGTTTGATTATGCTACGTAATAATGATTGACCGTTTTTTCTTCGCAAAAGGAAATTTTGACAATCTATTTAGGCAAGACAGTAATGTTCTGGAGAATCGTATAGTGACTATTCAACAAACCGATGATACACAGTGAAAACACAGCGAGAATCTATTAGATCGGTAAGTCACATGATAAAATCTTCCCTGATCACCTGATCGACTATTTCTCAAAATCGACCGCGAAAAAGATGTTGATGCGATCGTTCGAAAGATATTGATACGCAATTATGTGAATAGCGACATAACCTAGGCTCATACATTTTTATCATAGTGAGTGACGGAATATTGACTAGTCAAAATACTAAATCGAAGATTAAATTTTAAACGCTTATTAAATTATTGTTGATCGTTGGACCCACATCGTATGGAGAAGGTTAAACGCGCTAATAACTAATTTATTAATTTAAATAGGTCATTCGAAGCATAATTCTTATTTGTACGGCTACCGAAGTAAGGACAATAGTACGAGCTAAGCTTGATAACATCCTCCGGGATGGGAGCGAAAAATAATACACATTGCAAACTCGATAAGTCGGTCTCTCGATGATTCAATTTTGGCCTAAGATGGCCAAAACTTCCCACCCCTTTTTCTCAATTTTAATATTTAAAATTTCTCGATAAGTTGGTTTTCTCCGAGTTTGCATGTGTATCGCTTTCCTACTCAAAATACCGTAATCAGTAATTTTTGTGCCTCGATGGTATTTTAAGTAATTGATTGAATGATGCAAAAGTGAGACTTACATAATTTAATAAGAAAAATATAATCCAAAAGCCATTATCTTTGGGCGTTCACAGTGCTCCGCATATTTTTTATTTATTCTAATTAGCGACATTCCAATTACTATTAGTTTGTCACCAGTCTCTTTTTGAGAAATTGCAGTCTTTGTGATTATAGCAACAAATTCTGTAATAACTGTCTTAGTTTGTCTTGATAGTGGCATCTTTACTTTTATTTTAATGTTTTTTCTTCTTAAGATATTCTCCAGTGTTTATGCTGGGACACGGAAACCTCAGTTATTGTTGCTTTCTAACGGTGAAAAATGATCCATGGAAGGATATAGAATACCTGCTATCGAATGCAAAAACCTTTAGCCAACCTTGCCTTTTTTTTGAGAAACTAAAGTCAAAATTTATTTATTTGTCTGCGCCTTTAATGACTTCGGGCGATTGTTGAAAAATCACGACTACGTGCATGTGACAACTACAATGTAATCTGCATTTAAGCCGCAAACGTTATTCAGCCTATACGCTTAAGCTTTTAGTGAAAAATAACTGGACGACAAGAGCATGTTGATTAAGAATTGACCAGAAAAAGAGTTAGTAAACGGAAGCCAAGGAATAGTAACTGGATTTACCCAGGAAAGAATTCCTTACCTGCTTACTGAGTTTGAGAGTGGTCTATTATTAGAGAGTGTCTATTTGTCACTTAGAAGAGAAAAACTGGCCATACAAAGTCAACAATACATGGTATTGTGAAAATAATACATCGATTCCTGCCCACCAAAACTGACAGACAGAGATAAGCGACATCTTGAAATAAGTGTTTGAACCAACCGCGGCAGACTACAAAACAAATTTATGCAAACTTTTTCCAATAAACAAAGACGTTAGAAAAGGTGCGTAGCATACACCGGTTAGTTAAATACGTGTGCAAAAATAGGTAGTGGAAGTAGTATGTATATGTGCGAGGTGAGTGTAGTACAAAAACGATGTCTAGTTTTTCGCATAAGCAAATAAATGTAATTACACATTTTTTGTGCAAGTGATGGAATAATTGTGTGCATGAAAATGAACAGTAAGATATTTATATGGGTTTGAAACTATTTGACTGTGCTTTTGAAAAAAAACAGTAGTAAATTTCAACACATGCAACAGTATCCGGGTTACAATAAAGGTATATTTTTATATGTGTAGCATATAACTATCATTTCACTACCACTTTATCAAACTATAGCTTAGCATAGCTAACTTACAAGTAAGAAATCCATTCAAGTCTTCGGTTATATTCACCTAGTAAATAGGATTGAATCAAGCCGTCAATTGCTTGATTTTGATTAACGACATAGTTTTGGAGAGAGAGAGATTCTTTAACAATTATTAACATTTATGGACGAATAAATCACCTGGTTGGTAGCTCTGTGCTCCAATCATTTCTCTCATTATCTCAAGCTTTGGCAACCGTTTATAATTATGCCACATACTGTCAATTTCGTGATTATAGTAACAATGAATTCTTTTCTATTATCAGATTGTAAAATGATGGATGCGCCAAATTGAGTAAAAATGTGGAAAAGAAATTCCGCGACGTAAATAGCTTTATGCAGTTGCCCACGAATATCGTGCGTGTAAAGTGGTCGTGTGTAAATTTGCGAGTATGAAAGACTTCTGGTGCAATAAAGGGTAAACCGTCTTGAATGGTTGAATTTTTTCATGTGAATTCACCGATTGAGGAAGACTAAAATTGCAAGTAAATAATTGTGTCTCGATATATCGCCATCATTATTCAAAACAATGTTTTTACTATAAAGACCAGTGCACTGATCCCGCATTATGAATAATATGCAATGCGCAACAAACACCTCTAATTTCATCCTCCACATCAAATTTACATTGTATAACAACCATATGCTTATTTGTTTCTGGGTCTTGTATGACTCCATAAAAACATGATTACCCGAATGCTTGGCATGATTTCTGAACTATTAAATAATAAACAAACAAACAAACAAATAAATAATATAGAGTCGGATTAAATATCGTTTAGCTAAGAATTCTTATCTCGTTAATAAATAATTCCGGTATATTATCAAAAATTTTAAAACAACAGTTTCTGCCATATGACCACTAGATCCAAACTCGTTGTGCGACCACATGTTCGTACAAATTTTCCAATACTGGCATAAACAAAGTATTAATCCGGTATAATGATAATACAGCGAACCTCTGGAGATGAAAAGGATGGTAGTAGAGTAAAATTAAGTTATTATTCTACATCTAAAGATATTAAAAACTATAATTTATCTAATGTTTCTAAGGAAGACAATTATGATGATACTGATGAAATCGGAACAGGAACCGGTAATGTAGTGTAGTAAATGGGATATCATAGGCAGTTTAGGTTAGGGTTAGGGATATCAACGGGTATGATATCAAAATTGATATATGCGGGGAATTTATATATGGGAATTTCATTCTGTAGCCACTGTTGCTAATAGAAAGAGGAGAGGTTGTGGTGAATATTAGAGAAGGTTTACTGTAATAAATTTTTACATCAGTTTGTAGCTTAGGTTTTCAAGAATCTGTATGTAATCTGCGTTGTGCTGCTTAAACCATGTTGTATATCTTCTAAAGTTATCGTCATCATTATTGTACTTGTGTGTCGGAAGTGAGTATATAAGTTTCATCATTTTGCAACATTAGCTTTTCACCATTATGCTTGCGAATAGTGTAGTAGACTTGTCAATTTGACTTGACTCTATGTTGGTAATATCAGATGACATCTAACATAAGAAACACTGCAGTGTTGGGAGAGACACAATAGTTAGACTTATGAGAAATGCCTTGTCGACTTGTTTAATTACTCTATTTCTAGTGCGTTTTTCACCTGATCTATTCGCGTTCTTTCTTCTATGTACAGCTGGCATCCAAATATCATCTTTATTCATTATAAGCCCATTATTCTTGACGAGACTAGTAAAGATTGCGAGTCTCTTTCTTCGTCATTCAAAACATTTAACTGGTTCACATTCTATCTTGGTTTCTTCTTTGAGCATCCACATTCGTATTTCACTAACATATGGAAGAATCTTATAACGTACAGTATCTCGCGCCTCTCCGCTATGTTTCTCTGATATGTCTGTCAAAGAAGCTATTGCTCATCTTCTAAAGTTCTGAAGGACTTAATATTACTCTACTCCATTTATTCGTGCGTTTCTCAACAATGTTACACTTTTTGTTTCGGCCATCAAATCTGTAGATGCTATTCCAGTCAAGATTTTGAGGCGGTATAGTAAAATTCAATGCAAGTGCATGTCAATATATGCATAAATAAAGATTACAATAATAGCACGTCTTCTTGATTTATTGCCTTATTGAGTTCTCGAGACGAAAAGGCTGTCAAATATGGTATTTGCGATCCAATAGAGATTTTTTATCATCGTCTTGCATGATTTACCCAACTAACTTGTTGATAGCATCATTTGTTAAAAAGAAAAAAAGCTCGCCGACTGATAAGACGATATCTGCATCGTCTACATTCATCGTCTAATGCAAGGTAGAAAATTAGAATGTAGTATTAGTATTACAGTTTCTAAAGTCAAATTTGATGTTACTATTCTGTAAAAATCAGTTATGTCTTTTAAAGTGGAAATCAGGTTGTCTTTTTAATGTGGAATGTTGC